AAAATTACAAAACCCACACTCACGACATTTACAAGTGAATAAGTAATATGAATAATTTATTTACGTAGCAGTTGATTATTTCACTTTACTCGTAGACACAGTCTCTACATTTGACAGTTGTCGATTTAGTAACGTTCTTATTAATTTACCACGAAAGAAAGCAGTATAAATATGTTATTAAAAAATTAAGCTATGTATCAGCTTGTACTTCATCAAAATTTATACTACTTAAAGGGCGAATTATTACGTTACAAAGTTAATAATGAATAATAAAACAATTTTATTTTTAAGCACTGTTTATTTGTTTTGGATAACATTAATTATATTGTTGTAATCCACAGTTTTTTTTAAGTATAATATATAGGAATTCTTCATAACATAATTTGTCACGTGTTTACGGATGTTGTCGAATTGGCCAATATTAAATGATTTAACATAATAAGGACACAAAAATAAGACTATACAGAAAAACATTTATTTATGAACTTTTTCACGTTTTAAAATAGCTCACGGACAATAATTTTCTTTTAAAATACATAAATAAGTATCCACACAACCGACTAAATAATACACTGGATCTTTTTGTCACGATTTAAATATTAATAATTACAGGATGTTTCTGATTAGAAAATATCTACAATGATTAAACGAAATTATAAATAATTTACACTTAAAATTTCACAACACGAATTCATTTTTATATCACACAAATACTAAGCCCTTAGAGATATTTTTAACACATATTTAATATTTTAAAACGAAATTTTCGAACGTATCACTCATGGCTTGTCGATTTTCGATTTCCAAACGCGTCGGGAAAATGCCGACGGGAGGCTGCCGACGGCGCCAAACGCCATTCTCCCTCCCACCAATCAGAAGACAGAACACGCCCCGACGTGAATGAGACAGAGTATACGTATAAAGCTTTGTGCTAGAAGAGGCTAGAAGAAGTGCGTGCGCGGGAAGATCGTACAACGGCGGGGGAAATTATGATGCATCGTGTTGTTTTAGCATCGGCGAATGTTCGATTTTTTTATTTAAGATAAGTAAAGAGGTTCCGTTAAAGTGATTTTATGAAAGTTATTAACTTTTTCGTGCATTTTAAAGTCTATTGTTGTTAAGTTTTCAAATGTTATTTTTTGTAATATCTTAAAATAAATTAATTAATAACAATTTATAAATAAATAAATACAGCTATGCCTTTTTGTATAGTTTTTTTTGTTCTTGTATTGATAATAACAGCATGTATTTTTTTTTATAAAACAAATTTCAAAAAGCAGGCACCGAGCAAATCACCTTAACTATATGTTTGCCCCATTTTGGGATGTTCACGATTATCAGTTTTAATACAGCAGTTATTGCTTGAAATGATAACTTCAGCAAACCTTGGCTTAAATCTCTTTCAATCGTTTTGTTTGTTGTCTCTGTTTTTTCAAAGAGAATGTATGCGATGACATTATATTTCGACAACTAAATTAACACTGCATTCAGAACCTATTTACAATTAAAAAAACAATTGAAAGATACAGCAATCTATCTATTGGTATTATATATGGCCTCTATGCACACAATTCTTCCTAGGTTTACATACATTTTACTTTAACTATATTGTAGTCGTGGCAGATTTGATGTAACCCTCTACTAGATGATTACAAATGCAACACGATTATACATTCAGAGAGGTCTTTGTTTATGAATTCATTGCCGGAGGCGGCGAAGGGTACATATCATTATATTCGGCAAAATATTAAATCCATTGTTTTTGTTTCGCGGTATTTAAATAACCAAAGGACAAGGAAAGGGGAAAAAGCTGGGGGAGATACTTATGTAATGAAATAGGAAATAAAGCTTCACTTTTTAATATTCATACATATGTAGACCAAGGAAATCTAAACTAGGGTTTAAAACAGTTTCTCCTATACCAGCAATTAATCAGAACCTAAATTAAATATTTTTAAATGTAGTCTGTTTTTGTGTTGGTTGATTTATTTGATAAGAAGCCAGTGATTTCATTCGAGCACTATAAAAAAAACTAGTGCGATTTTTTATTCCATAGATATCGTGCGGCAAAGCGATGTAAGTAAAAAAACACAAAAAGCGCGCGGTTTGCGGAAGGCAGCGCGCGTCAAATTGGCCGCGGACCGATCTAATCTGTAACCTATCGGTGAAAGGGATTCTCATCCTTTTTTAATGTGATATGTCGGTCCAAGTCATAAGAGTATCCTTCGTAGCAATATATTTTTTTTCAAGATTAATATCAAATTTTATCTATAATAGATGCAAAGAAATATGAATTGCAATTATTACTTTTAATCAGTTGTAAAAGACGAACAATAAAACTTAGCAGTAGAACAAAGTACTGTCCCTAATATCAATTTGATCAGTATGCTTCCTGATATTTTAGAACATTTTTGCCTCAGTAACAAACTGTTTTACCAGCAATTGTTACAAAATTTGTACTGTTTCTATGGGATAAAAACATCTTTAACTCTACTAATGAAACAGAAACTTAGATACTAATGAGCTGGCAATCATTAACATAAGTAACTATAACCGCCGCCGCCACCAGACGAATATACGTGAGTGATTAGCCGTTTTTATATCAGTTTACCTTTGATCTTAGTATAAACCGCTGTCACTCGTGGCTTATACCATGTAATCTATCGGCATGCACAAAGCATTCGTTACTTAGTCGGCGGGATGTTGTGAGCCGTCAGCGAAGCGTGTAAGGCGACGCAGCTGTGCTCTAGCATACTCCGGCCTTACGCTTGCGAATATGCGCTTTTTTCAAAGGTTACGTCACACCTCACGTGGTGCGGTGGTAAGTTCAAATGTTCAATCGATTAGGTACATAGGGCGAGGTTTAAACAAGGGTTAGCTTTCCGTGTAATAATGATGAAACTAGAGCTCTTAGTTACGATATTTTTTATTATTAATTTAAAAGATAATTTTAAATCAAAGACAAATTAACTCAAGAAAATGAAAACAGAATATTGACATATGTTTGAAACTCAAAATTCTTAAAAAAACATTTTTTTTTCGTGTAGGATTACATTCAGATCGCGCGCCTTATTATCTTGTATCAATTTGAGTCATAAAATAGCCTTACAAGGTACTATATCTAATTATACCCTATACGAAGAGTCACACGTGCTCTTGAAAATACAGACTTAAGGTCAGAGATTTTCATTACTTGCGAGTCTTACTATTATGATGCCAAAATCTATCAGTATGAAGTATTTTCTACATAGTACTAAAATATAAGATTGAATTTTATGATATTGTTCGTAATAATCTTTTAATAACGTAAGCATTATATATACTTTATAATTAAGCCAACACAATGCACTCCGCGAGTCTAAATAAAATCTTTACACAATAGGAACAAGAAAATGCAATGTTACGAAACGGTCCAAGAACAATCCCTTACAAATGCGAAACTACAGAATGAATCTATCGATGCGTAAATTAAGGATCCAATGCCATTCAACCGAGGCATGAGTGCAAATATAGTACAAAAAACTCTGTTAAGAAAATACTTTGGCCCCGCGTATCTAGATGTCCCGCTGCGGTGTTCCATATTGTTCTTAGACAAACACTTTCTTTACAAAAAAGAAAAAAGTTCCTTTATTTTTTTCGTATATCGACCGCGACCATTGTCAAGGGCAGATTTATAACGCTCGAATTAATTTATACATTTCAATTAGACATAAAAAATCACAGTTAAAAAATAATTTCGTATTTCCAAAAGCAAAAAGAAATTAAGCGTTGTCATAAGTATTTTGGGTGGAAGTTAAAAAAAGATGACGTCTCAATTGAGAAGCATTAACCAGCCGTATCGAATACCGTGACATGGTATCGCAAAATCTCACAATAACTAAGAGCGACCGTGAAATTAGTCCTGCATAAATTAGGGCTAAGTCATTCAGCATTGAACAGCGTGAACATTGCCGCGTGTCCGCCATTGTTGTGACGCGGCGCGCGAAAACGTTTTTGTTGATTTTAGGTTATTACATTTTGGCGGGCGGCCGTTACGAATATGCGTGCTGATGCCAATTAATCGTGTGAAATGATATAACATTGTTATAAAATAAATACACACTAAGCAGTTATCATGAACATCTACTAAATAAGAAAACATATAATTATATTTCTTCATTGGAAAGTTTTAATTGGACATTTCTTAATATTTCGATATGTAATTATTATCAATGTATGGTGGATGTCTACGTCAATTTTATGTATTTTTTTTATTTGTTGGCGATAAATGTAAAATGTTTTATTCCCATCTATAACCGTCAAATGTGGCACATTACAATACCTAGAGTCGTGAACATTGACGTGTGCCTGCAATAAAACCTTGCCACGGTTTACGACTCGCCGCAGACCTTGCGTACGAAATATTACACATAAAATACATATTACACGCATATCTATAAATAAATATCCTTAAATAAAATTCTCCGACATCGTCCGTTTGAGATACATAGGAAGATTATTGAACAATGCTCACAAAAGTTTACTTTGATTTTCACAATTTATAGACATCGGGTAAGGAATACAAAAACTTTTATAAAAACACAGAACTGCACTTATTAATTTGAAAATTAATTAATTCACTTTTGTATTAAACCATATTGTTGACAAAAATAAACTTTACGTAAACGAAAATATTTTCTGACAAACAAAAACCTATCACCCAATTCGAAACAAAAGCAAAAAAAACAAAAGATTAAAAAAAACAACAACAAAAATGCAAGAAATAAAACAACGTACTTATCGTTCGAAATTCAAAAAAAGCATTCGACTCGCGAAGTCATACAGCATGCTTGTGGAGCCGGCGTGGTAGTGGGCGTGTATGGACGTTTGTATGTGTGGGGCGCCGGTGTGCGTGCCCCGCCGCACCCCGTGGGGTGAGTGCGGCCCCAGGCCCCGCCCCTGCGATGCTCACACGGCTGACTTGGAATCAGATGGCTCGGCCAGTCGCAACCGAGCCGTGACATCGAGAACGCTTCGGAGCCCCCGAACGCGCTCCCACCCAATACTTAGGGCATTCGATGATTACGCGCTACACTGATTATTTATACTTACGAAACTCAAATTAAGAATACACCGGTCAATACATAACTTAGTACCATAAAGGACTGTGAATAAGTTTGTGTTTTTGTGCTTGAGAAGGTTTTGTGCATCATATCGCTTTATGCCGTCGCTCCACGCTCTGGGTAGGTTCAATAACCTATTGTTTTTATATTTAAATAAACAATTAAACACATGAATCCCACTATACTAAAAATATACACTGACATTTCAACTTTATTGTATTTTTTTCTTTTTCATTGAAAGAAATATGATTTTTTTATACGTAATTTTACAAATATTACATATTAATAGGCTTGAAAAATTTCTCTATCTTTGATATAACTGAAGGACATTTTTAACAACGTTGATTGGTGATTTAGGATCTAGCACTTGCCACATAAAGTAAACTATAAGTAAGCGTCATCATATTTCCTCGAGTCTGCTCATATCCACTTTTGATATATACCTACATAAAAATAAAATACAGCTTGAACAATAATAACAATACTTTTATTGTGAACAAAACACTCTTCTTATATTTTTAATATTACCGTGTTTCACAAAATCTTATTTTAATAATCAAAAAATTATTGAAAAAAAACATAGATAGTTGACTTTATTAAAATCAATACTTAATAACTGTTTTGAAAATCAAGTTACCGCCCCAATTGTAATATGATATTTTGTATAACCAAAGCACCCGACGCCATTTTTTTATCCAACAAATTACTAAATATATTGTTGTCGATAATTTGCAATAGTAAACATGTAGACCTTCCATTGTTATTTTTTGTAGGGAATTTTGTAAACTTATCATATTACAGTATACTCTGTCCTTAGATAAATTTAAACGATTTGCCATAGGCCAACTTTATATCTACACGAAGTATCAAATTTATCCGTATAGGTTATAAAATATAATTATAAAAACAAGTTAGTCTTCAACTCCAAATTTTTTTAATAAAAAAAAATATTTTTTTTTCTATAATATATAATAATAATATCAGAATAATTTTATTATTAAATTATAATATTCTAATACATCTAAAGACAAAACAGGATTTATAAGTTTTAAATTATGTTGGAGTTAGAAAAATTAATAAACATAATTACAATGAACTATTGAAAAGAGTTTAAAAATAAATGAAATTGTCTTTTAATAAATATTGAAACTACAAAACTTTATTAAAAATAAATGTAATAGATGAAAAAAAAAATATTTAAATGTAAAAAAAAAATCAACATAAAATTCTTCATAATTTAGGACAATTTCGATTTGTTTAAATACTAATTTTTCTGTAAACTTTTGTATGAGTGAACATTAATTTTATTCTTCTTCATCTTCCAATGCCTCTCCATTACTGGAGGTTGGCCGTCAGCTCAGCGAACCCTTTCCTGTCCTGTGCCAAGCGAAAAAGTTGTTCAACGCTGGCAATATTGGTCCATTCCCGGATGTTTCTTAGCCACGACTTTCTCCTCCTTCCAACTCGTCTTCTGCCTTCGATTTTGCCCATCATAATGAGTTGAAGAAAAGTTGTATTAATTTTATTAATATCTATATTTTTATACGAATCAAAAGCAGTACAATATAGTTTTTTTTTAAATAAAACGTCCATAGCATTTATCTATTAAACGCAAAAGTTTGCTAAGAATACGTCATTGTACGCACCGGGTGTGTTGGATACTTTATAATTTCGTTAAATAGAGATCTCGAGAACTCATTGTTGAGAGATTGTGAATAATTTTTGCGGTAAACGATATGCGAACTACAATAGCTGACAGTGACATGGGGCCCGGGTAATTTTGTAATGCGCTAACTTAACAAGGATCCTTTTTTACTATAATTGCGTAAAATCGATTCAAAGAAATATAAAATATAAGCGTATGAGGAAAATTATAATTAAAAACACAAAATCTATCTTGAAAATTTAATGTAATATGTATTTAATTTATAGATAGTAGAGAAAACTTTTATTCATGATGCGTAATTTAAAATGCAAAAAAACACAGCGTCTTTCTAACACATTGTAGTTAGTAACAATAAATGAAAAAATCCATCACCGTAATACAAAATTTAAGTTTTGAAATATAATTTAATTCAAGAAGACAATAAAAACTTACCGTCTTTACATAGTTAACAGTACTTTAGTTAAATAAAACTGATAAGGATATAAAGATATGTTGATACACTCTATATCTTTTCCAAAAAGTTTTTATAAACTCCGTGGAAAATACTATTATTAGTAGCTTCAGTGACTGGTGAATTTGTACTTGTCTTATTAACAAGCTTTAGGATAAAGTTGAAATTAATTACGAAGAAACGCTAAATATAATTTTTTACATTGATTCCCACTATGTCCAAAGCTAAGTCAAAATACAAGAAAAAAAAACATTTTTCTAGTGTCGTTGGCACTTTGCATAGCAACCTTTTATTACAGTATTTAAAGTATGCTCCATTTTAAAATTAAATTTTATGTTTTATTTTAGCATATTTTTTACTAGCATTTAAATTAAATTCTACAATATTTTTTGTTTACCATTTTGCTGAAAATATTTATCATAAAACATTTTTTTTTAACATTTAAAAAAAGAATAGTTTTTTTACAACTTATTAAATATAATCTAAGTTAAACTATATCAAGTTAAATGCATATTACAGTACAGTACAGATAAAGTTAATTTTAAAAATGCAGTCCAAATTCAAAGGAATACTTTTTGCAAAATATGATCGTAAAATGATGTCTATGTATAAAATCAATAAATCGTGACCAACAATCGATATCAAAAGTGCCGACATGTCTACCAAGTAATAGTGCTGTAGCAATACCATTATTTACACTCGAAAAGCCATTGACTGGAGTGTTGACATCCCTATTATGTAACAACTCCCTGGGGCGCTTACTTTGACAATTTTTTTATACCCATTAATGACATATCCTTGACAAAGAGATACAGCCATTGACAGTTTTACAAATAATTCTCACATGCTGTCATTACACGGCCTGATTTGTAAAAGCACCTTTGATACGGTCGGCAATTGGGATTCAAGTTGGTGGAGACTTTATTTAACTTATGTACAACTTACTCGTACTGCAACTTGGGATTGAGTCAAACCTAAGTTGGGGTTACGCTTTAAGTATTTTCTAAAACTTTAATTAACTATAAAATATCTAAATTTAACAAATATGAATAATGATTGGTTGATTATAGTGTTTGTAACTTTAAATTATATATATTGAACCGTGTGCCATAATAATTGCAAAATCTTACTAATATTATAAATGTGAAAGTTTGGTAGTTGATAGATGAATAGATGTTTGTTAGAAGGTATCTCCAGAACGTCTGTATGGATCTTAATTAAATTTGGCATAAATGTATGTGTTCTGGAAGAACACATAGGCTACAAATATTTTATTACCGCGTGGACGGACTCGCGGGCTACAGCTAGTTGCTCATAAACATTTATAAGAACGTAATAGTCGCAAAATAAGTGACTTAATTCTTTATAAAATTTTGGTCTTGAGTTGAAAAACTGTAACAACAAGCTGCATTAAAACGAAGATCAAAATTTTAGCAATACAAAACCCATAACTCACTTTGATTCCTAAAATCCCAACCCGTATTATTTAATGATGCATTAATTCTATTCAAATCATTATAGCTATCAAACTCCCAGTGTTACGAAACCGGAGACATCTTGTGATCAAAAAAATATAAAATAAAGTAATCCCCGATGGGTTCAAAATAACACCTCTTTGGTCTCAATAGCCTCAGAGCCTCACCCTTCTGACGATGAGGCTTAATAAGGATTAAGATAGAGCCTTTTTAAAAGTAAAAAGCTTCCAATGTATTCCGCTTATGATATTTTTATTTTTATGGCGGCTGTCTGTCGTTTCGGATATACCCGTGACATTTAAATTGTCATTAATCATTATAATTTTTATATGTTTAAATTAATTAAAATATTATAATGATAATTTCGTAGAACTGGCTACGATTCTACAGATTAATTTAAAATAAAGAAATAAATAATTAAGTACATACACTAGATGTTAATTATAAAATTATGACTGAACTTTTACCTTTATGACACCCTATGAAAGAATACACTTCACTTAAAGGAGTAATAATGGCATGGCATGGAAATCATACTTTTTAATTTAAAAATTCATAACAATATTGTCTGCAATCTGCAATTAAATACAAAAAAAATTGTATACGTGAAAGTGTCTAATCTATACAGTCTTTCGTCTATCAATAATTAAAAAAAATAAACTTCAAAGTGTTTGCCGGTATGTTGGCGTTATTATTTGATCGCTAACATTTCGGCTGCCGGCCTGGTAGCGATGCAGAAAGGTGAAGATTCCGTATTGAATGCGGCACAATGCTACAGATTGATTTATGTTGCCGCTCGCTATGCGTGGTGCTACTCTCATGCGGTACAAACAAATACGGTCAGCAGACACACTGGCAAGGAAAATCAAATTCGATTTATTGTGAAAAGAATTGTAAACGAAAATAACGACAATGATTTGGTGACCGTATTCTCCATCTTACTTTTACTAATATTATAAATGCGAAAGCTTAGATAGATGAATGGATGTTTGTTTTAAGATATATCTGAAACGGCTGAATGAATGTTGGTGAAGTTTGGCATATATATAGAACATCGTCCGGAAAAACACATAAGTTACTTATTATGTTGTTAATTCCGCGCGAACGGAGTCGCGGGCGAAAGCTAGTTATAGATAAAATTGTCCTCTTACTACGTTTTTTTGGTTCTATATCTAATTATAGATACAATTCTCTGTATAAATAAATTAATTACAAAAAAGTTGTAATGACTAAAGTATTATAATTTGAAGAGTCCTAATTTTCCATCAGGTATCTTAATACTACTCTTTAGTAGGACATATTGTGCCTATAATCTGTAGGAAAAATTTAGATGGGTTTTCTATCACTTCAATTTTGTTGATAACTGTTTTGCTGTCGTTACCCGTCACTTCTGAATCACGGTAACAAATCGGCGGCCGCCCGCGCGGGTCTAACAAACGGGCGTTTTGTAAGACATTCTAATTTATTACTATTAAGACTGCGTCTAGGTGTGAGACATAACCTCAAGGCGTTAACAGTACAAAAGTAT